AATTAGTTACTAAATTCAATTATAAATAAAATTAGTTTTAAATGTTGTATAGATTTCAAATATATTGAAAACATATATTTTTAATAAAAAAATTTAAAAAATATAAAAATAAAAAGATTAAAAAATTAATAATTGATTCATGGGGGGGGGGTAGCGGAAGTGTTAGGTCAGGCACCCTCATTCCTAAAATCCCGCGCACGCCTATACACACCAGCGCCTAAACCATACCTAAAATTTTTACCAAATTGGAGAAACCCATGTCCATCTTGCTCGAATAGTATCTTTTAAATTTTGAATAATCTTCCTTAAAATTTTGGGGTACTTTACATGAAGCCTCCGGGACATTTTCAAAATTTTCTCAAAAATGGTTCCTAATTTCTTCTTTAAATTTGTTGTAAGATAGGAGTAAAATACACTTATAAAGGTGGCATAGGTTCAATTTTCACAGTTAACTCTCAATTTTTGAAAACTACACAAGTTTGAATTTTTTGCGGCGTCTTTCTACAACTATAAAATTGATGATAGAGATTTTCCCTTCAAATTCATTTTATTCTCTATAGTGAGTTCATTCATTAAGATAATATAATTTTTTTTGCAAATTTTAGTAGATTTCGCGCAACATTGAGAGCAATATGAGCAATTAAAAAAGTACAAAAACTAGATTTTCTCAAAAACGATATATTGCTCTATTCTTTTGTTTTTTCAAAAATTACAAAAAATTAATTTTTTAACTTGTCTCTCTCGTCGTTAGTATTTACATTGACGGCAATTTGTTACATTAATTTATTTATTAGTAATTGTGTTTAAAATAATGTCAGATAAAGTTTCTCGGAAACTCAACCGTTGTCTGTAAAAATTAGCCCCAAATTCCGCATTTTCAGAAACACTCAAACGCCATTTTCTCAAAAACTTATCCAAAGGTGTTCTTTAAACTTTTCGAACGTATAGTGCTAACTACACTGTTTAATATGACATAGAATCAATTTTTCTGTATTCTTTTGTTGTTGGTTTTTAAATATACAAATGTAATTTTTTTGAAATATCTCTCACGCCTTTAATATGCACATTTCCAGCCATTTGTAAACAATATTGAATTTGTGACTGGAAGTGTTTCAAATGACTTTATATGAAGTTTTTCGAAAACTCAACATTTTCTGTGAAAAGAGGTTCAAATTTCGCACTTACAGTAGCGCCTAAAGGTCATTTTCTTAAAAACAGCTTCAAATTTTTCAAAGAAAATTGATATTTAGAGGGAGGTTTCACTGTTTTTTAATATTTTTAAAATAATTTTTCCTTTCTACTATTAGAAAACAGAAAAATTAAGATTTTTTTTTTAAAAATGCACTTTGGCCGGCGATAGATGGCAACTGGCTTGGTATGGTACGTGGCAAGTCCGAGACCAAAGGTTGCCCGCTCGGAAGCATATTCTGTTCCAGGGTCAAGTTCTGGGGTGGGCACTTGGGCCTAACGGCTGTAATCCCCACCCCGTCAGATACGTCAACACACACAACTCCGAAGAGATAGCCTACCCACTTAACCCTACTTGCTCAGGGGTACTATTTTTCCAGATTAGCACCGGAGTCGGATTTAAGCGCCACTCACGTGCGCCAGGAGGCAGCCCTGAGTATCGGACACTGTCACGAAGAATGCGAGAGCCCATTTGGGGGGCACACGAACTAAGGTCCGAACGTCTTGGGGAGCTATTCCGTCTCCTCACTGCACACTCCTCACTGCGCTGACGTCAATACCTCCGAGAATCTAAGAGCAAGTGCTCTTTCTCAGAAATCGTACAACTTTCTTGACACAAGTCAAACTTCGGGGAAGACGCCAACGGTGAATCAATCGCCTAAGCCGATCAGCGCACCACAAAGTTTCAGAGCATCCATCTATTTGATTGGGCAATTAGTCCCCACCTCTAATATTAAAGTCTCATTTCGCTTGCACTCACGCACGCAAGACAATTCGGTATTCGTAAATCCTCTGAGACGAGTGGATGTTGCCGCATTGTTTGCATTCATGCAACGTTGAAATCCTATTTAAGGCAATTTTAACAATTGCGTTAATGTGCATGTTTTATTTAAGGCATACTTGCAATAGTGAAGTAGACGCATAAGCCCACGAAATAGTATTTGTCTTCACTAATGTAATGAGTTACAAACTGAACTGTGTCTTCGTATCGGAGCCCTTGACTAATCTGTGCCGGGTGTAACATCGCAACCTGTGTCTGTGTCCTGGCATGCGATCTAAAAGTTGGTATGCAAAACTTATTGGACTGGATGGATACTCTCTCAATGAAGAATCTTCTGATTTGGGTGTTAGCGTGCACGCACACTCTCTGAGTCTGTCAGCTACCACCATTCCTGCGTGCCTCTGTGCGTGCAAAAGTGCGAAGGCCTCCGCGGCCGGAGTCAGTAAATATTTGGCTGCCCGGGAGACGCCGCGAAGGACACGCGTGTGTATGTTATATGAAGAATTCCGCAACCTACGCCGCATTACAACCTGTCCTATTGATCTACTTTAAGGTTTCTGCTACGTGTGCTATGCTACATTTCCATTCAGTTTAATCTTCAATTATCCACCGACCCTTGCTGAACAATCACGGGCGTGTGTCGGGTTGAGTGTCGGTGGCGTGTGACAGCCGCACTCAACAATCGCACACGCTAGAACGACCAAAACGAGCAACGAACGCAAAGGACAGGGCCAGCCAGCATACGAGGCGGCGGCGCACGCTCCTCCGGGTCGACACGCTGCGCATCCATGCGGAAGGAGCGGCGTTCATCCAGCGGAGCAGACCAGCTGACTGGTCGGCGTTCATTTGGGTGATACGTGAGTCGGGA